CACTAGTCATGCGAACTATAGTTATTAACTTCATTGTTCATCTTGCTAATACTCTTCAGTATTATGTAGAAGTATACACTATATTTAATAAATGTGGTGTCCTCCCTCGTTCAAGTAGTCTGACATTTTCTAAAATTGTCCTTTTTTGTAACTTCACCATAGGTACGAAGGCTCTGCGGCCCTCATCAGTGGCAGTTCTGACGCCTTCGTAGTTGTCCCGCTCCCCAAAACTCAAGGGCTATTTTCTATCACGAGTTCAGTTTTTACACCGCGTTTTTAATTTTTTTCGCGCTGTTTGATGGTATCAGTATTGGATTACGCGAAAAAAGGATTATGGAGCCAGAAGCGGCAGGATATCCCTTTGATGGCATAAAATGAGCAGGTGCCGTTTATTGAGGCACCAGGAGTCCTTAGGGTGTTCTCCATGATATTTTGGCTTTCTCCTTTCCTGGGGACTGTATGTATAGTGTAGTTCGGTGCGGACGGTTGTGCATGTCAGGCGGGATGAGTTTGGAGCGGTGCCAAACCCGTTCTCCACCAGTTGTTGAAGCGAGCAAATGATATGACTGTATCATATCGTTCGTATTACTCGTTTTCTACCACTTTTTGTCGCATGCGCGCTTCAACAAGAAGGCAGAGAACGGCTCAGATGGAGTGACACACTCATACTGCCTGACACAAACTAGAGTGTAGCTGTGTATATTCCCTGTTTATTCCTTGTTTGTTTCAGGTTTTTATTTGAACACGGCTATCCGCAATATGAAATCGCGGGGGTGTCTCTATATAGGGCACGTCGACCCGCGTTTTTAAAATAACAAATGATCTACGGTTCATTTTTTTTTGAACTACGAAGAAACGTTTTGACATGTTGTTTTGATCCTAAACGAAAACGTGGCTGACGTGACTGCTGATACTCCGTTCGCATAATGTTGGGGCAAGAATCGTTAGAAGACAAACCGCGCGACTTCATATTGTGGATAGTGGCGTTATATTGCACCAGTCGGATCGCCCGGCTGTCGCCGGGCGCTCCTCCTTCTGTGACATGGCCCGGCTTCGCCGGGCCATGCGGATTTGCCGCGTGCTAAGTTAAGGATCGTTGACCAACCACACTGTTCAAAGGAATCTTCTGCATCAGCCAAGAACTGAAAAGCAGCGCTTGTTCCGTCAAGGCGCAGAAGCAGCAGCAGCGCCCCCCCCCCCCCCCCCCCCCCCAGCACAGAAGGAGGAAAAGCCGGTCTTAGTCAGCGCGACCGTCTGGGTACGGGGATTCATAACCTACACGGAAATAGTGCAGCCTGTTTGGACAGCCACTGAAGCAGCCTATAATTTATGCAATCTGTCTTCCTAAAGCGTCTTGCTTTGGAATGCACTACCGCATTCAGCAGTGGAACCCTTTAAATGGCCCTCACCGAAGTTGGCTGAGTGGAGAGATAATTGTGGGTTAAGGAGTGATTAAGGTCAGTTTCTGCTGGTTATGCTATCTGTGTAAACAAGAGAGAGAGAGAATAGAATGGCTGGCCTAGCGGTCGTACACGACGTCGTCTACTACTGAACGTGATGGAAGTCGAGTCTGTTGGAATCACTGGACCATCGTTATAGCTTGAGCTCATACTCGATCGGCATTGTTGTTGTGAGCGGTGAAGCGGATTTTCCCATGCTACCTTGTCAATTTTAGCTCCTACCACTTCCGTACCCGCTAATAACACTCCGTCTCCGGGTAATCACTATTCAGTATCACAACCCGCGCTGGGACCTGTATTCGGCCTTCCTCGGATCAGCAGGCCCAGTGTTGGGCTGGTAACCTGCGTCACGAGTCATGAATGACCCTTCGGCTTCGCCGAGGCGCTTACCGTATCTTATCAACTGTTAATGCGAGCGCGCCAGCAATCTATTTCCTCCCACACCCTATATCACCTCACGTGATCTGAGTTCTGCCACTGGTTGGCTGACTAACCTGCACGAATTTGATGACCCTCCTCTTCCGAGGCCCTTATCGGATCTTATCAACTGTTATCAGCTTCTGCCAGCCCCACCCTACGGCATATCAGTACTTGAAATCATGGTCCGGCCGTTGCTGCAACTTGCCACGAGATGATCGGTACGCCTCCAGCCCGTTTTGAGGCCCCTTATACGAATCTGTATAAAGTGTTTATCACCGCCTCCTTGTCAGCCCCATCAAGGACTGTTCCCGTGCCTGCAGTGTATAATCACTGCGTGAGAGCGGCGGCCCCGCTGCTGCTGCAACTTGGCGCTAATGGATGTTGGTCACCGCCTCCCCCTCTAAGGCCCCTTAATTCGAATGCTGATCACAGTGTTATCGACCTCCTGCACGGGGTGGCCCTAAAGTTGTTCCGTCCGTGCCATGTATATCAATCTGTCTTGAAATTCAGCGTCCTGGCAGCTGGCTGCAGAATTGCGCTAGCCGATTTCGGTCACTCCTCCCTCTAGAGGCCCCTTATCGAATCTTATCAAGTGTCATCACCTCCTGTCACCCATCAAAAGTGTTCCCGTCCTGCCATGTATATCACTCCTTGAAATCACGGTCCCACACCTGCTGCAACTTGCGCTACGAATTCAGTCACCCTCCCCTTCTACGGCCCCTTATCGTATCTTATCAAGTGGTTAAGATCGTCCTTCACCCACCAAAAGTGTTCACGCTGGTGCCTGGCCATGTATTATCACTTCCTTGAAACGATGCACGTCCTGCAGCTGCCTGCCATTGCCGGGCTACGATTTCGGTCACCCTGGCACCGTCTTCTAAGGCCCTTATCCGAATCTCTTAATTCACAGTTGTCATCACCGTCCTGTCCACCGCATCAAAAGTGTTTTCTCGGTCTGCCATTTGTATATCACGTCCTTGAAATCACGGTCGGCCGAACACCGTGCTGGCAGGACTTGCGCTACGAATTCAGTCACCCTCTCCTTCTACGGCCCCTTATCGTATCTTATCAAGTGTTATCACCTCCTGACACCCACCAAAAGTGTTCCCGTCCCTAGCCATGCTAAATCACTTCCCTGGAACTGTCCATCCTATCTCTGAGTGGAGACGCTCGCTAGTGAATTCGTGACACAGCACACACAAACACACACACCACAGCACTAGACACACAGAGAGACACACATAGGCGGATTATATATAGTAGGAAGCTCTACGCACTGCCTAAGTGAGCATCCCAGAAAAAAAAAAACAAAAAAAGTTATGATCGGAGAATCTTCCTCAGTAAGGACCTGGCATCCTCTCTGGACGAATTCTCCAGAAGTGCTCGTTTCGTTTTGCCAGCTAAAAGATATTCTATCCATTTTGCTCACTCATCTTCGCGCCTACATCGCTAATACCATCTCACTGTGAAAAGAAAAAAGACAAGGAAAACGGGTGTTCACACCTGGATTCGAGTGACAGACAAATAGCACTTTGAGGTCTGTGGTGGCGTGGGACAAGTTGAGCGTGCGCTCAAAACTGCCACTTATGCAGCCAAGTAGCGCGCATTCGTTTACTACGGTGAAGCGCGCGAGAGTTGGGGAGCAGGTCATAGAAAGTGCGGATCGGACTACTTAAAGAAGGAAGAACGCCTACGACATGGATTCGAAAAAAAAAGAAGTTGGGAGGGGGGCGGGAGGACTGGACTAGTCTGATAGTTCACGTTCAACCCCTTGCACAAGCATACACAAACCTTTATTTACTCAATTGATATCGTATTTTTGTGACTTGTTGTCTCCCTTGAAGAAATCTTTCACATCTTTGAAAATAATAAAAAAAAAAACACCACCTAAATTTCGAGTCGTGTACTATTTCTTATTTTTACGAGGAGCCAGTTTGGCATTTTCAGGACTTGCTGTTGGTGCCGCTTTCGCTGGTCTACGTCCTATCTGTGAATTCATGACATTCAACTTCTCCATGCAGGCTATAGATCAAATGATCAACTCAGCTGCTAAGACGTACTACATGTCAGCAGGAAAGGTGTGTTTGTTGAAATTTTTATACACTCTCAATCGAAAATTTTGTTGATTCAAGGAGATCGAACTGGAATTGATTCAGTCTTTTGATGTAATAACATCTCGATTTGTTACATCCCACTTTTCCGCTCATTAAAAACTGCTTTCGTTTTTTTTACACAGTCTGCTTTAAGGTGCCCTGTCCAATTGTCTTTCGTGGAGCAAACGGCGCCGCATCCTGTGTTGCTGCGCAACACTCCCAGGATTTCAGTGCGTGGTACGCTCACTGCCCTGGACTGAAGGTTTGTACTTGTTGAGCTTATTTACATATCGTTCAATTCTCTATTAGAATTTGCAATTTCAAAAAAAGAAAAAAAAATTGGCATATTCACTCTCTGCTGCCCCATTCCTTGCAGTTCAGACCAGATTTTAATAGAAAGCTTTCTCCTGGTGCAGTTTTTTTTTGAAATGTTCGTCCCGCACGTAATTTTACCCTCTCATGATTACAGGACACTAGGACCACATCCGTTTGAAACGGAAGTGCCTGGCGTCCACACCACGAGCGCCAGCGCTGCAAGTATTTCCCACATCGCGGTTATAGCGCTCGTAACAGGCATTTCCACGCATCTAGCGCTATATTCGTACTCAGGAGGATAAATTACCCCAGGAACAAGTTTTCTACATTTAGTAATTCGAAATGTCTTCACACCGACGCCTGTGACGCGAGCGCCTGGCAGGTTCAGGGTATTTTAGTGTTCACGAGCAAAGTAGCCTTGGGAGCGAATTCCAGTCAAATCCAACCACGGAAAAATCAGAATCGTAATAGGATCGGATTTTTGAAGGATGGGGTAGTGAAGGATTGCTGCTGCCACGAAAATTTAACCGAAGATAACTAGAACTTTGCCTTCATTGTACGCGTGAACACTGAAATAGGTTAAGGAGGAGTCGTGTTCACCGAACTCATGTTCTTGAAAGCTCTTCAAGCCGTTATTGCCGTATAACTTGCAGGTGATGGCGCCATACAGCTCCGAGGACGCAAAAGGTCTCTTGAAGGCCGCTATCAGAGATGATAACCCAGGTATGCTTCTCAATTTAACGTTTAGTATTTTTTCGAATATCCCATCAGTGTTCTTTTTTCACTCAAAAGCAACATGTACGCTCACCTCCGAGGAGACCCTCTCCGTTTGCCATGTGAATGGGTCTTCAGCTAAAGCAGCGTGCATTTACCTTCGGTCAAAGCGCGGAAACGTGGTTGGAGTGTAGTTACACCGGGTATATTTGCTACCCGCGCTATGCTCAGCTTGCTTGTATCGATACTAAGATTTCGCAAAGAAACGCATATTAAGCGTTAGAGAACGGCCAGAAACCGTAACGACCCAGATAAACAGCGCGTTCTGATATGGTGAGGCGTGTAATTGGCCGTGTCGCGGCGCGAGCGAAGTACAGAGACGGTACTCGTGTATCACTGCCCTGCAGCTCCGTTTCCGTCCACTTTCAGCCTGAGAACCATGCTAGTGCACTGCTGCAGCTGCTGACCCGTTCACCTCGCACATAGCAACGAACAGGGTCCTCTAAGGTGGATGTGCAGTTTGTCTTTGATTCCATCTGATTACTGCCGTTGAAGGGACTTGTAACGCTGTTATGGTGACCTATTTCGTTAGCCAATCAAGGGAGAAGTCTAAACCTTGATTGAGCAGCTGAGGATAGAGCATATCATCAATGAGATTCCCCTCACCACTGAATGAGTGGGTGTTGGATAGATCTCAAGTGCAGGCGGCATCTTTACTGAAGAATAGGCGAGCAAGAGATAGTAAAGGTTCGAACAGTTGTTCAGCAGAAGTTCATCCCGTCTTTCGAATGGAACTCAAAATCGTCGCAAGCAGCGCATGTATCAAATAAATCAAACGAGCAAACTATTTCCCATAATTTCGACAAAAGTATATGCCCGAGGAGCCGTGAAAGAAGAGCCTGCGATCGCCGTTCGTAGGTGGTGATGTGCGGTTGGACCGCGCCACCTGGTCCAGGGAAGGGCTTCCACTCGTTTGGTCGCGGTCTACAAGCCCATCAATGATTTCTTTTGCAATGGTGTCGGAGTGCCAGGCTTTTCACACTACACGCTTTTCACGCTCGGAATTTTTTTGCGACGACTCCATCACGGAGAAAATCAACCAATAGGCTCTGCAAAAAAAACTGAGGTGCTTTTTCGGGTGTAGGTTAGGACTCCACGAGAGGTCACGGCAGCCATGTTTCGCCTCGCCGCGCGCGGCGATTGCTGCCCTGATTGGACAAGACCCATACTCTGAACTTCGTTTGCAATACCTTGCAACAGGATGTGCAAAAGAAGATTCAACCTCAAAGTGAATTTTGTAGTTGCTGATATATTCTCTGAAGAATTTTTCTTGGTAAATGGACAACGTGCTTATACTAATAGTGAACATTCGGGCCCACACCCTGCAAGTAATAAGAGGCGACTGCTTGGAAATTAAGCGGACTCGTGCAGAGCCCGCGCGCACATGTTTATCTTTATGTTATGTTTATGTTTATTACGCTGCCAAAAAGGCAAACGTGAGAAAGCAAACTAAAAACCAATTAAATAGAGAGAAACTAACCAAAAAAGTCCAAAGCAAGGGAGCGATTACGATCACATTCTCGGTAAAATCGCTCAGTGAAATCAAATTACGAAGTGATAAGAAACTCACAAGGCGGCTAATTCAAAATCTGACAACAAGGCGATAAGAAGTGTTCAATCAAAACCGGAAACGGGAGACATGATAAGCAAGAGTCAATCTCTTAACTAAGGATTTTCATGATGACTAAGTAGCTGACTAGCTGCAAGCTTCTTGAACTGTCGAAGCGAATTGGGAATGGCCATATTCTTTGTAACTTTTTTGTATGTACTTGCTGCTCTAAATGTGAAGCTTGTGGCTCTGATCCTAGTTTTCGGGCAAGCTAAGAGGATTTTGGCTCGCCCCCCTCTGGTTCGTGAGTCCTGTATTTTGAACAAATTAAAAGCGAAAACATAGCGAAAACATCGCGAGGCCACTTCTCCGTCGCGTCGCGAGCGGCATTGCTGACTCTGTGGAGATCCCGTCCCCGCTTTTTTCACTTCACAACCTTTCCCCTTCCAAAATTTGTTCTGCTGAAAAGTTATAGCCGTTCAAGGGAAGGGTACTTTCACACGTGGGGCAGGGGGTCGCTGCGTTTTCCATACCGCGATAATGTGCCCCGTTCAGCCAACTCCTACTTTGACCGAGTGATCCTTCTTGCTAGACCTGCTTCATGTCGGAACTTTTCACTCAAAAATTTCGAGTGCGAGGCACTTCAAGAGGAAAGCTCTAGACAATTATAAGCTTGAAGCAGCTGGATCTGGTAGACAGTGCAATAATTCCATGGCTCAAGTAATCTTCCTTTCCTCTTTGCTAATTGTTCAACCTCTTGATTCTGCTGCGTTTTCAAGAGTCAGGGCAAAAACTGGTTGGGGCTATAAGATTGCAACTCTTATTTTGATGGCGACCAGCAGTAGTGAAAGTGGTGGACCCAGATTAGACCTAATATTCGAAAAGCCCCACGATAAGGATCGCACTTATTCGATGTGCATGTTTAACGCTTTTCAACCCAGCACAACTAGACAAACCCACTGCACAAAAAGTGCTAGAGCTGCTGTACCTGTGAAGATTATTGCTGCTACAAGTTTCGCTTCGTAACAGCAACTTCATCGAAATCGTATCTTTTTCAGTTGTGTTCCTGGAAAATGAACTTCTTTATGGCCATTCATTCCCCGTTACTGAAGAGATGCAAAAGGAAGACTTCGTATTGCCCATCGGAAAATGCAAAATTGAAAGGTTACACCTTTTTTTCTGCATTCATGTCCTCGAATGAAATTTTAACCCTGAACTTTCAGACCTGGAGATCACATCACAATCGTGTCTTTCTCCAAGGGAGTTGAATTGTCCCTAGCAGCAGCCAAAGAACTCGAAGCACTTGGAGTTTCCGCTGAAGTAAGATGAAAATCGTGTTTTTCGTTGTTTGTGCAGCCTCTGAGTAGGAGGTTTTCTGCTGAACATTTGGTCTTACCAGCTAGCCATTGCTTATCAAAGCTCAAATGAAAAAAAGTTTCGCGGTGCATATTATGTTCCTTTAGGTAATAAACCTTCGTACGTTACGTCCACTAGATTTTGACTCTATCCAAACATCAGTGATGAAAACAAATCACCTCGTCACGGTTGAGCAGGGATGGCCATTTGCAGGTGAGGAGGAGAAACGTCCGTGTATTAGCTATGTGTTTCTTTTTACGCAAGACTCTAAGTGTCCTCACTGCATTTTTTTTACCATTTCTCGTCACGTTGCAGGTATTGGTGCTGAGATTTGTGCGCAAGTGAGTGAATCTGCAGCATGGGATTACTTAGACGCTCCTGTTCTGCGTGTCACGGGAGTAGATGTGCCGATGCCGTTTGCCCATCATCTTGAGGCCGCATGTCTCCCTCAAGCATCTCATGTTGTAGCCGCATGCAAGAAGAGTCTTAATATTAAATAGATCTAGGTTAGTTTACTTTTTACAGTTTTCTGGCAAACTTTGAGAATTTTTCGGGGAGGTAGAGTTTGTTTTCGCGCCTTGGAAATTCTTTAAAACTGTTATCAAGTGCGCAGGTCCAGGTCCCAAAATGAGTTGTCGTTATGAGAGTGGGGCAATATTACGTACGCTAAGATCCCGTACTTCACTTTGGTCACTGTGGTGGTAGTTTCCAAATTAAAAGGAAGGCTGACGCAGCACTGATAAAGCATTTTTCGCGTAATCATTTTTAGTTGGCTCTTATCATTTGTCATTGGTAAACATCACCAACCCGCGACTTTTGTTGAAACTCGATAGTTCAGCGGTTGAATCGTTTGTGGTTCTACTGCTATGGGAGAGGGATGGAACGTGTGCATTCACTGAGCCCAAATACGTGAGCTACAGTGATCGCGGAGGCGGCAGTGGTGTAGTGGCGAAAGGCACGCTTACCACTCGCACTGTCCAGGGTCCAAATCTCGGTTCGACTCTCGCCGTGGACAATCAAGCCTACTCTCCGGGAGGGTAAATTGGTACCAGATTCGTCTGGGAGGATAAAACACTGACTTGTACATCGGCTGGCCACCGCAAGTCATTGTATAGGCCACATCGCATTCAATAAGCGACGGTCTTGAATGGAAGTAGAATGCTTGTCGCATACCACAGGAAATGATCACCGGTTTAGACATTATTTTTTCAATAGTGATCGCAGGATAGTGCTAAGGAGTGCAAGGAAGCGAAGCAAAGACTGACTCTGATCACCTCCAGATGATCACTATATCACTACCTATTAATAGTGATCAGTATCCCCGCTTCGCCCCATTAATCACCAGTTGGAACCAACTCTCATTGTTGCTGCTATGCACGCGATCAGTTTTGTGGGACTTCCATTTTCAAGACTTTTATGAGTTCTATCAAATGTTATCACTTCTTGACGCCCACCGACAATGTTTCCGTCCTGCCCCCTGTGTAACTCCTTGAAACTAACGTCCTGCTGTCACTGTGACCAGCGCTGGCAACTTGGTTAGTCTCCCCTTCTAGCGTCCCTTATCAGTTATTATCACCTTGTGTAATAATGTTCTCATCCCACCCTCTCTATCACTTATCAATCTAAACTCTACAGCTAGCTCGAAGGTGGTTATGAACTCACGGTAAACCCACATAAACACGCCCACTTACCAGCAGACAAACTTAGCGGATTATATGCAGGGGGGCCAAAAAAGACACTTCGGCCTAGTCACATATCAGTTTTCGCAGCCCACACATAGGACATGGGTACGAGTACCAGGGCGGAAGATACCCAAGATGTTTCTTGATTAGCAAGAGCTGGCTCTTGCCCATCACCTTCATGTATACCAAAAGAAGAAGTCATCTCCAATTGCAACCAGACTGAAGAAGGCCTATGGAAATCTCGTCACCTCCAAACAGCTGCGAAACTTCTTGTATAGAGCCGCCCATGGACAGCTACCTGGAGGCCGGCTTTCTTGATCTGGAAGACCTCCAACATCGAGCAGCTCCGACGACGTCGCAACGGTCCAGCACATCATCCTCACTGCAGTCGCTAAGGCGCGGGTTGGTGGTATGGATCGGAAGTTTGGAATGTGAAGACCGATATTTTCTTCGTGGATTCCCTGCTGGAAGTGAACGCTGACGGTTACATAGGCCAAATCCTGGAGAATATTCTGCCTTTATGTTATCGCCCATACCTTCTTGGAAACTTCGTACTGCTACAGGATTAAGTGCCTCCACGCGGAATCGATATGCGTTGAAAAACTCTAGCCTACTCGGGATGGAAGGGCGTTGAGTACCTGAAGAAGACGGAATATCTGAGTGTGTCACCTGACATGAACTCCTCAATTACCCAATTCGGGCGGAGCTCAACAGGGTGGTCTACAGTGGCGGCAGAAATCAACGATCACGCTGAACTCAGGAAGCGAATGACGGTCGCACGACAAATCTCTTGATGACATCCGTCCAGAAGGCTGAGGCGGAGTTTCGTGATCGTGTACAATGCGTTGTTGAATATGATTGTGGGAATGTCCAACCAGAATTCAGTAAAGTGTGACTTATAGCGCTTTGAGAGTCAAGGGGAAAACTGTCTTTTTTTCGCCCCCACCCCTGTATAGAAGAAGGATTTGACAGGTTTGACAGAAGGACTTGATTTGATAGCGGTGTGATTTTTCTGACATGTTTTTATTGGCTCAGAACATAAGAGCGTAGCAGCTAACCAACGACCACTCTGTCAGTTGCTCTGCGAAAAGTATTTTTGATGGGGCATCGATACTGCACTTTGCGCTCCAGGCCTCTCATTGCTGATACTGACGTGAGAACCAGGGAGATTCTGTTCTATGTTCTGAAATTAATGTTCTAACTACGACTCTCGCCGTTTAAAAGAGACTATCCAGTCTGTTTGGATAAGGGGCCAGAATTACACCCAGAGAATCATGTGAGAATGAGGCAAAAGTGGTGAGCAGCAAGTCCCCGTGTGCAAGTGCCGCTGTCCTTTGGGTTTGAATCTGGGCCGGTTCTCGTTCAGACAAGCCAAGCCTTTTACCCTCTGGGGACAGTCATTTGGTACCAGAATCGTACGGGAAGATAGAGCCCCTAACTTATACATTGGAACTCGCATTAGCTTCATTGGACGAGACGTGCATTATTTGATGACCCTAAAACCGTAAAGAAGTTAGCAAGAATTCATGTGTCGATAATTTTTGCGAACACAGCCTTATAATGCAGGCTTGCGTTGTCAAAAGTAGAATCTGTCAACGCGACTCCTGATCTCGTCGTACTTTCCAGAACAGCTTTTTCTTTACGGATTAGGGCTTCAAGCAGCGCCACGTAATCTTTTATCTTAACTTAGATGCTTTTCAGATAACTTTTTTCTGATGGGCATATCTAGAGGGAAACCGTCAGATTGTTGAGCTTCAGAAATGTCCAAGGAAACATTCCATTGTGTACTTGAGAACCGAGCGAGGGGGGGGGGGCATTTTGCCCTTACGCTGCATTCCATTCCATTTGCAGAAGATGTTATTGTTGACTTTTGCGGTCGACAAGTTGCTTGCCACCGGGTTATCCCTTTTTGCTCAGGTTCCAGCATTCCTCCCTCGTGTCGAAACGGACTGAAACAATAGTTATTGGGGTCTTCCTTGTGAAAGGCCACTGATTGGCTTTTCTTGTGGCTTTGTCCCGCCCTGGGTTCGACTTTTGCCATAGTTCAGCATTCTTGTGCACTTTCGGAACGCGACCTTCGGTGTAAAACAGCAGTTATCATACAAAACAACTTCAAAAAAATTCCACCTATATTTTACCTAGGGCCAGGGTACGTTTTTCATAGTTTTGCATGGCGTCTCAGGCGGATCATTGCTGCTGCAGGCATGAATCAGCTCTACATAGTGCTTCTACGGAAATTACGCACGCAAACGCGCACACTCTTGACCATCTTCAATTTTTCGATCGTAGCTCAGTTAAATTGCAGCAGGAACCTCGGTCTCGTGAGAGAGTTCGACAGTGATTAAACATTCAATACTTGATTTCATCCACCGTCCGTCGTCTGCTGAGTAAGCATATTGGGACGTCCTCAATCACTTATTTATTACCAGAACTACCACATCCACGTCAACCTACCCTTTGCAACTACTACACAACTCACGAATATTTTCGAGCGGCGCCCCTTCTTGTACGTCCGACTTGATAGCTCGGTGTTGATTTTGATCGCCTCGCCCTGTTTTCAGTCTATCGATCTTTTCTTCGTGGCCATGTTGACTAAGTTCGGCGAGTGCATGGCTTGGTATACTTGCTTCCACATAATATAGAGGCCCATGACCCTTGTCCCTCCGCCCTTACTGACACGCTAGTTTATGTGTCCTCGTTGAGATAGCCTGAAAGAATGAAATATAGTTACCCATGAGCACCTTACTATTCCAGAGAGCGAAAGGGTGAAATATGGTCACCCATGGGTTCCTCATTGTTCCTGAGGCAGTGTCGTGTCATGTGTCCCAGGGATTTTAGAGGGCTGTTATTCAGCTCACGGCTAACGATTAGTATTATGAGCTTTTAGTAGTCTTCACTTTCCGCTCATTTTCCTCAGATTGAAAAGGGTAAGGCTTTCGGTGGCGATCAGTCTTTTTTGAGGTTTGCCATGTACTCTATTTTCACACAGAATCGTAGTAGCTTTTGAATGCGATTTGACCTACCAGTGGTTTGCGGTAATCAGCCTGCCCATACAGATCGGTCTTATCGGTAATCGTGCAATCTTTCCTGGCAGGTCTGCTACCCATGTGCTTGCACTGGAAGGAATGCTTCGGTTTGCCGCCAGAAGGGAAGCGACGCGCCCGAGCGTTCGCTGTGGGAGCAGGTTTTTGTCACTGTTCAACTCAACCGGACAAGAAAAAATCTTATAGTTTTCTATATTTTTCACTCACTTGTTAGGTATTTTTTCACTTACTTGTGAGGGATTGCTGAGTAAACCCATCAGTGAGTGACCTCTTGTTGCTGTGTGGAAAGCTTTGCTTCTTCGAACACTGTTTACGGCCGGCTATATTTTTTTTTTTGGAAAAAATCTCTTTGCAGTTTTTTCTGTGTTGCCCATCTCGTGATGATACCGTCGTCGAAACATCTGGTAGGGTCAGCAGGCACCAAAACCGGACTTTTTTAATGGGTACTTTCAAAGCTTCATGGCCATCTTTAGCAGTAAAGTATCCACAGTGAAAGTATTGATTTCTCGTAACACACCGTCATTTTGAAACAAGCACGACATCTGGCACATGTCGGGCTGTAACCAAGTTTTATACTGATGATTTCTACTGTTTCAGACGCCCCTTGCTCGAGACACAGCATCAGGAATAAGTACATTTAGGCTACTTTTTATCTGCCCAACACTTTTGAATGTTTCTTGATGTGGACATAAGAATACTCCACGCACTAAGTCTCTAACCTGTGATCTCAGTGCTGGTAATCTCGCCATTAACAGTATAGTCGTAAAAATTGTA